TGCTCTTCCAAGTGCAGGACAGCCTGGAGCCCCACAGGCAGCGGGCGCTGCAGGGACTGTGCCCCCGACAGAACCCCTGCGGCCAACAGCAGGGAGCCTGCCCGGACGGTGCAGGGGGGCTGGCAGGACGTGTGCTCAGCACTGTGGGGCAAGATGCGGAGAGGTTTGAGGGTTCTCGTGGCAAAAGGGTGAGAGACACAGGCACCCAGACGTCAGGGGGAACACAGACACCCGAGAGACATTAGCTGAATGGACGAGGCCGATGAGAGGAGGCATTGGGAGGCTAGGGGAGCCCCTTGTATAGCTGACTCCTGCACACTGCCTGCTTTCCCGGCCTCTTCCCTCTGCTGGGAGAAGCCCTCAGTCCTTCCTTGCTTCACTCACACCATCTTTCCCCAAACAGAGGTTCTCAAACTTTAACATCTTTCTGAAAGAATCAGTAGGAAAGCCTGTTAAAGCAGTTTGCTGGGCCCCATCCCCCCAAATTCTGATTCCATAGGCTGGGTAGAGTCTGTGAATTTGCATTTCTAACCAGCTCACAGATGATGCCAAAGATGGTCCAGGGAGAACCGCTGCTCTAGACCAGCACTGCCCGACAGGACGTACTGGGACGATGGAAGTGTTCCACCTCTGGGCTGTAGCTAGCAGTGGCCTAGCGGGCAGCACAGCTCCGAAAGGGCCTTGCTCCTGCTCTCCTCCCCTCCCACACTCCCTCCTCACACTCGCGATGACCTTGCCTTGTAGCTCCTTGAGAAACAGAAGCCACCAGATGCGATGTCCTCTCAATCTATCAGCGTTCCTACAACTGCCTTCACTCGCTACCCCATTTGAGCCCTGCCACAACACACTATAGCAGCTGCTAAAGCCGCTGTGACCATGTGGCCCTGTCCTGTTATCACTCCTTTTATCTCCGGCCCCTCTGGCTCCCCCTGCCTGGGGGAAGCTCCTTCTCCTCTAAGATCACTGAGGCTGGGTCCTGAGCCCTTTCCTGTCTCCGGTTCCACTCCCCCCTCCCCAGGGGAATCTCTTTCATTCCCAGGGCTTAAATGCACCCAAACACCAGCAGCTCCCCAGTTCACATCTCCAGCCCTGACATCTCACCGCTCCACAAGCTTCCGTGCAGCTGCTCAGCCGACATCACCCCTTGGAGATCTCTTACGTGCTCTTCCTTCAGGCCTGCCTGTCTCCATGAATGGCACCTTAACCCACCCTGTGCCCAGTACAGAAACATGGAGTCGTTCTTGCTACCTTCCCCACTTTCCACGCCATCCACTACCTCACCAACTCTTTTTCTACCTCAGAAGAACGGTTCCAAGGAGCCTAACCCATCTCCCTCACTACCCGAGTCCACAACTACCACTGTCCCTCACCTGGGCTATTGAAATGCCTCATAACTCAGCTGCCTACCTTCATTCTCTCCCTCTGCCACTCCATTTTCCACACAGCAGCCAGAGTGGTGTGAGTGTGTGTGTGTGTGTTAATGTAACTAGGTTCATATCTGTAGGAGATTCTATCCCGTCTTGCCTCTCCTTCTGGAAAATGCTCTTTCTCCAGCTCCCATAGCTTCCTCCCCCACCCCAGCCACCAGCGCTGACAAGGAGATGGCACCTGACCAATGTCTGACAATCAGAGTCTTTTCCCAAGTTGTTTTTCCTTGAGTCCAGAGACAGCAAGTTCCTGTCCCTCTTTGAAGGCAAAGCTGGTAGATCTGAATCAAGAAGCCTTCCAATCAGCTCCCCTTTGTGGATAATTAATTTGGGTTGGGGTTCTATCACTTGCAACATAGAGAGCCACACTCATACGCGTACTTTTCCAATGGTTTTCTTTTCCTAGAGAATGTAAATTCCATTCCAGCTGGACTGTGTCCGTCTCGTTCTCTTTCTATTGGACCTGACCACAGAGCAGGCATCCAAAAAGTAATTGTTGAATAAATGAATGAATATCTATAAAACTAAACTCAGAGTCACCTCCTGGTGGCGCCCCTGTGTCTTTCCACTACTCCCTGGACCTTCTTCTCTGATACAAATTAGCACATCTTATTGTATTTGTCAGCATCCCAACCCAGAGTGTGGCTTCTTTAAGATGAAGTTCAATTCAAACATCTGCCAAGCTGAGTCTCAGGAACTGTGCTGGGACTAAAACGGTGATTCATATCCCAGGATGGAGCAGGGCGCTTTGGGTGGGTGCACAATGTACGTTTGCTGAGTGAACAAGTGAATTTGCAGTTTATAAAATACTTTCTCACCATCAACTCTACTGTGCCTCCCAATAATAGGCAGGGCAGGACTCCATACTACAGAGAAGAAACGTGCCTAGTAACACGTGCACACCTCATAACGGTGACCACTTATAACACCCTTACCATGTGCCAGGAGCTAGTTACATTCACATATTGAACTTCAGCTGGTGGAGCCCTTTTCCACACAGCGCTCCTCAGCGCCAGAAATTCTGTTATTATTTACTGGCTCCCCCCTC